ACCTTTCTTTCAGACTTTTTTCTTCTCACATTGCTTTCGCCACCTTTCTCCCCTTGACTACCTCCGCATTTGCGAAAAAGGCTGGATCTCGGTAAGACGGAGAAAGGGATCGATTCCTCAGGAAACAGCTGCCGAGATCCAGCTGGTGAGGAGAAAGGCTTCTAGGCCTGGGGCCACGAGTCGAAAACTCCACGCGGACCCGTAAGCCACGGTCATGAATCGTCACGCCGGTGCTGTTAGGCGGGCCCCTTTGGTGGACCGGCCAAGCGGTTCGCCATGTTCTATCGGCCGTTTAGAGGAGAAGCGAAGAATGCCAGAGGGAGGAAGAGGGAGCAGAGAACCTGGAACGCCGCTGCGCCTCCACCCCTGAAAAATTCCCGCAGGTGCCGCGATTTTGTCGCCGGAAACGGCATCGCGCCAGGCACGCCGCGGTGACAGCGTGGGATGCCGTGCAGCAGCGCAGGAACGCGCCTTGCACGCCCACCGATTGACGCCACCCGGTTCCATCAACAGGCCCACCCACGACGGGGCGGCGCACACCGGACTGAAGACCGAAAGGGTTGCCGACAAAGGCGGCGTAACGCCGACACGGGCGGCTCGTCTGCATGAGGCCCGTGATTCGCTGCGGAGAAAGCCAAAACAGCCGGCTCCCGGCGCCGGCCTCTGACCCAGCCTTTGACGTGATGAATGAGGGGGCCAGTAGGTCAGAAGTACCCAGAAGTTCGGAGCTGGAGGAGCGAGGGCCACCTTTCCCAGTCATCGCGGCGACATGAGTGGTTCTCCAACCGACGGTTGGACTTGTCGGTCCGGCCTTGGGGAGTCTGAGTTTTCTCCCAGCGAACAACCGACCACTGCACCACGGCCCAGGTACCGTGAATGGCGACGGAACACCGTCAACGGAGGTGGGGCTTCTTCGACTGTTCTGAGTAGTTGCTTTGCAGTTGGTCTGGCGCTGCGGCTCGCACAGAAGGGTTCTGGAACGTGGGAAAATCCGGGTTGACTGACTCTGCCGATGGCTTCTCTGGCAATGAGGATTACTCAGGCACGCGGGCCTTCTAGATTTTGCTAGCTGTCCCGATGGGGAGGAAACCAGCACCAGCGCGAGGCACACACTCCGTGGCGTTCTTTGTGCTTTGTGTGACAAGGTCCAACGAGAAAGGGGCAATTGTTGCGACACGTTTGCGCAATCAAGGCGTCGGCCGCGCTCCTTTTGCCCGAGGCGGCGGATCAATCCGAGGTCGGCATCAACTCGCTGTCCGCCGAATTCTCCCGTTTCTGGATACCAACAAGCTCTGCACAAGCCAGTCAAGAAACCCCCTGATTTGATGTGTTTGCATGTGATCTTGAACTTCCGAAACCTTAGCACTCGTCAAGCTTCTTCCAAAACGCGCGAGCATCGATGCCTCCATGCACCCCAGAAAATCAGGGCACCGAGTTGTCCGTGCTGTGCGGCTTGTCAACATCGCAAAATCTGGGATCGCCTATTCTCAGACGTGCCCACAAGGCTTGACAGCTCGTGAAGCTCCATTTCCTACACGAAGTGGACGCTTCTCAAGATGGCGCCACTCTGACCACACACATCTCTTTCCTCCCTCACTTCTTCCCCAGATTCTCGATTGAGGAATGGGTGGAATCGAGCGGATCGAGTCGCCGGCGCTTTCGTGGCCGAGGGTTCGATTCATTCGTTGCCTGAATTTCGGAACCCATTGCTGCGCACCATTGCACCCTTGGAATGAATCATGCCATGCCGCTTAAGTAAACCGAGGCCCATCAGGACCTGGCTAAAAACCGCTGGGCGGAAGCTATAGAAGAGAACACGAGGGGAGATTAAGCATGGTCGTTTCTGACCATGAGGCGCGAGTTGCTGGCTCAGACAGCACAAGACTCGAGACCGAGTTCACCTGATCACCTTCTGGCATAGTGACTTGTGCCGACGGCAGAAACGCCTCAGCACCATCCACTTGCATCAGTGTGGAGTGTCTATTTGCCGGAGTGAGCAGCGGCAGGATGATAGATATTGATGTGCAAGCCTGCTTAGTGAAATCATTCAGCATGGCGCAGTGATCCTATCGTTCTGACCAGCCGGACATACATCGATAATTCGACAGCTTATAGAGTGAGAGGCAGGGCAAGTAGCACATGTGACATTCCCATGGGGTTAAAATGCCGACCGGAAATCAAGCCACCACTTTCGAGCGCGTCCCCGAAGCCGAATCACCCGGGGAAACTTGACGTGGAGGCCATGGGATGCCTTCATCTGTTTCTGAAGGGCTGCATGGCCTTGTGCAGTGGGCCAGAAGGATGAGTCTGAGCAAGGCCACGCCGACTATTGCATTGACTCTGGAGGTGGCCATTCGAGGCCACAAAGCCACTTCGATTCCATCCTTCTCGGGCTCCATGTCGGTGTTGGGGAGATCTCTACCCGAGTGAGGCTAAAAACGTCGAGGTTTGGCCAGTCCGCTCCACAAATACCAGCCCCTCCTCGCCGAGCCATTTACCGGAGTCATTGGGCCCAGCAGGCATCTGTCGCAGTCTGTCACTCTACGTAAGCGAGTTCCTGATTCACCCGGAGTGATTCTTGCATCTGCTTGCCAGCCTCCAACCAGATGCCACACATGTAAGAACGGTCATCTGTCTGTATGCAGCATAATGAGGAGATGAAGATGGATTCAGCTAATCATTTCATAAGAATGTGTATCCTCCGATGGAAAGGCCACAACTACCAGACACTGCTTGCTATAACTGACACAACCCAGACGCCGCGCACCCCACATGAATTTCACACTTAGTCTAATCCTCGAAGAACTTGACCACATCTCTCAAGTCCTTCAAAGTAACGTCGTGCTTCGGGTAACAAATGTAAACCTGCTCCCCTAGCACGCCAAACTTTCTCCTAAACTCCGTCTTTCTGTTCAAACCTAGGCTCTTAACAATAGCCTCGTACGTCTTCGCCAGGAACTTGGCCCTCGTTCCGTGGAGCTGCTCACCCGGTGTCAGCTTGTCCGCAGCACCCACACCAAACGTCACGGAGCCAGTGATGCTCGCTAGAGCCGTCTCAATGAGTACATCGATAGTGCCGTTCGGCGCGCCGGGGAAATCGAGCGCCCACTTGACCTGCCAACCGTGCCTGGGGGCCAGTTGCGCCAGCACAACAAGCCCGTGGACTTGGTCGCCCTTCTCGGCAGCGAAATAGCGGCGATGCGACATATCCACCCAGGGCCGAATCTCTGTCAGGTGAACTTGCTTGCCCTTTCGCGTCGATCTCCAGGCTTCAATTGCTGTGTTGGCGCGTTTAATGAATGTGCTGTCAGGTCGAAGTTCGCGAATCTTGACACCCTTCACGCTCAACCCGGGCGAGCGAAGTTGGCCATGAGGTCCCGTGTGCTGTCGGCATCAGTACGCTTGTTCCCTCTGTGCAGCTGAGGGTGCGCCATCCCAGCTCGTGGCCAAGAACTTCGTGGACCTCCTCTGACACGAGCATCCAAATCGGTGTCAGTTTAAGCTCACGTGCCGTGAAGTCGATGAAGGCAGGAATGACTTCGGCATACTGGCGTATGTCGCAGAGAGGATCGCCAATGACCATGGCAAGCCTTCCTTGCTTGACGTACCCCACCGCCGCACCGGTATGGTGACGCCAGATCTGGAATCGATCATCAAGCCATGAGGTGTTGGAGGCGTCGCCATAATTCGCGATGAGGTCTTCTAGGGCTGGGAAGTCATGACCAGGCCGCGGCTTTGTTGTGTCGGCATTGGGGTGTGGCAGACCGGGGGGACGCGCCGGCAGCGATTTCGGGTCGCGATGGAAGAGCGTCGCGTATCGAATATCGCCGAGGTTGAGGAGAAGGGTGACGAGTCGGTCCAGGCCCAATCCTGCGCCGCCGTGGGGGGGGTACTCCCAGGTCGAACGCAGTAAGGTACTCGGCCATGTCGTCCTCGGATATTCCGGCATCTACCATGCTTGCCCGTAATTCCGCCGCATCATTGATACGTTGGCCACCAGTGCAGATCTCTTGTCCCCGGACGAAAATATCGAAAGAGTTGGTCCACTTAGGGTCCTCCGCCTTGTGCGTGTAGAAAGGGCGCGCGCTCTTTGGGAATTTGTCGAGGATGTAGTAGTCGGTCTTGTACTTTTCTTTGACGAGTTCACCGAGACGGATTTCGTCGCGGGTGCTTAAATCCTCCTCTTCGACATCTCTTCCATCGTCACGCAGCATTTGGATGCCTTCGGCGAAAGGGATGATTGGGGTCTCCTCCAGCCACTCTATGGGAGAACTCGGCCATCGTTCGCGGACCACATCAAGCTCCGGCATGGCCTGAGCCGCCGTGAAGATGTCTTTGAGCACACAGTCAAGAATCTTGATGAGCTCATGATAGTCGTCTTGAATAGTCATTTCCAGGTCGAGGCCAGTGTATTCGGTGAGGTGGCGATGCGTGTTTGAATTTTCAGCTCTGAACACGGGGCCAATCTGCGATCACGTTAGTTTCTTGTCAAAAGCGATTTTAATGCATTCTAAGAAACACACCTCATAAACTCGACCGAAATCAGCCGAGATGGCCATTTGTTTGGCTAGCTGTGGGCTCTGGGCAAGAAACGCTCTGCGACCGAAGTAGTTCACCTTGAACACGGACGCCCCACTCTCCGTAGCCGCTGGCTGAAGTTTCGGGGTGTGCATCTCCATGAAGTTCTGTTTCTCAAGCGATTCGCGAAATGTCCGGGTGATGGTGTGGCGGACCCTGAAGAGAGCCTGGTTTGCTGGATGCCGTAGATCGAGAACGCGCGCTTCGAGACGCCGGTGCATCGTGCTCGGTGCCTTGTAGTTGCTGAACGCCAAGTCATGCGCAGGACTGACAAGATACATGGTGTCGATACTAATCTCGACACCGCTGTGAGTTGCCGAGCGAACATGCTGCACGGGCTTCTGAAGCGTGCCGGTGACCTGGACAATGGACTCGGGATTGAGGTGCTGAGCCCACCGTACCATGTTCGGGTGAGTATGCGACAGCACGCCCTGGATGGTATGCGTTTGGTCCCTGAACAAGAGAAAGTCGAGATGTTTCGACATTCGCCGTTGTGTGTGAATCCGAGCTCTGAATGTGACGACAGAGTCAACGGGCATGCTGGACACTTCAGCGATCGTCACCAGCTTGGCGGGGTGATGGAGCTCTGCGCCATAGCGATTGTGCTCCTCGGGGGTCTCGGGGTCTTCATCGTCGGTTCTGGGCTGACTTCGCGGGCTTTGTGGCGTCGAAGGGGTACTGCTGATGGCAGCGTTTGCACTCGGTCGAACGTCGGGAGCGCTATTGACACCGTTGCGCAGGTCGAGTCGGGGCACCTTGTCACTGCTGCTTGTAGTGCTGCTGCTGTTACGGGGAGATTTGCGGACGCGGTCAAGGCTGACGGTCGATGTGGTCTTGGCATCGTGATCGTGGCGGAGGGCGGCGAGTTTGTGTGCAATTCGTAAGAATGGGTTAGGTGAGCCCGGAGAGGGGCTCTCCGTTGAGCGGCGGCTGGTTGTCGTCATAATGTGCTGTCAAGTGCCGGCGGGGTTCAAGCCGTCTCGGCCGGGTGTGCAGTGTGCAGTGTGAGACTGCCAGGCACAAGGCCAGACACTACCAGCAGCAGCTGCGGTGCAGGGATGTCGGGCGTGGAGGCTGAACGGTGAGCAGGGCGCCTCCTTCTGGACTCGGGCACCAGGGCGCAAGGTCGGAATGGACCGATCTAGTGTTGTTCGTTCAGGGGACAGTTTTCGTTGGACGACTGATGGTGTGTGTGCGTAGCAGACACTTTCGTGAGATTGTGTGTTGATAGATGTGATGGCAACGCGACAGATCCAAGACCCTTGGGTGAAGTACGATCATGAACATTAGCAAAGAAACACGAGAACAGAAGGGTGGGAGGCGACATTGAAAGGTTAATAAAGGATCAGGCAGTCCGGAGTCCTAGTTGGGCCCGCGCTCGTTGTTCAAGCTGGCAAACTGGCGGGTGGGATGGATATCTCGGATCTTGGTGGAAAGGCTTGGTAAGACCAGGGCCATGACCAAGAGTTGACGTGTCCGTGGCCGGCGTCACGACCGTGTCGGACGGGGCTCGGCACTCCACAAGACTCAGCCAAGTCGCTGTACTTGACTATGGTGCCTGTTCTATGCCCTGGGTTCCATTATTCAAGCTCTTCAAGCTCTTTCCGGCGGCGGGTGCACCCTCAGCAGACTCGCGAGTGAAGTCATCTGGACATGCTAGATCGAAGGTTCCCACCAGATCGACTGTCACGTCGGTCCAGCATCTCGCCGGGTAAGGCTTCTAGCGTCTCAAAGACTGGACATAGAACGAGTAGGATGTTTACACGGGAGACAAACCGGGATTAGTGGGTGGTCGGCTCGCATCGCATTGTGATGCCCTCTGATGCAAACGCCGAAAGGTTGCGGAACGGCCGGACCAAATCCTCCACCGCCCCCCCAAAAGAAAACCCAGCCTTTGCACACAACGCCTGCCGTTCGCTTCTTGCCGAACGTGCCTTCCGTTGCTGTACACCTACCTACCTGCCCCTGGAATCGCCTTGGTCTGCTGACCAGGAATGGGCAGGGGCAGCAAGGTGGTTCTGTCTCGGCCGGGACGACATGCCGAGTCCGCCCCGTGCTTCAGAAGGCGCGACTCGCTGAAATGTCCTTCTGCTGAGCACAAACTGTCTTCCGTAGAAAGTTCGTGATGCGGAAAGAAGATTCGAGGGTTCATGACGTCACCCCACTTCACATGAAGTTGGGTCTTCAGCCTCCCCGCCACGCCATTCTCCCCACCAGCGGAAGGGAGTGTCCACTTATTGAGCGCTTGCCTTGCATCGACATGAGCTCGACAAAGGAAGGAAGTGACCGAGAGAGGCATCGTATGACGGGAACTTTCACAGCGACCACAGAGCCCTCAATGAGCCCCAACCTTCCGCCTCGCCACGCACCGTCCTTACCCTTTCACTCGGTCTCCGAAGCTCCCCGACAAACAATCCGCCGACCATATTTGACTGTCGGCCCCCTTCAAGCACCCGAAAGACCCGAATCGTCCTGAGGTACCTGTACCTCGACCATCCACGTGGTGTGTTGACTCTCCGGCATCACCGGCATCGCCCGCATCGCAACCCCACCTTCTTTTCGACTTTGAGCCTCGCACACCGCATCTGCACCTGGCACCTGTCATCTCCTACCCCGCGGTGGGCGCCATGTTGCGCAAAATCACAACCTCGGGAGGTCAGTCGACCTCTTCAGCCAGTAGCAGCAGCAGCAAGCGTTCACGCCTGTCAGCCAAGCTATCACGTTCTGCATCACGCAGCACGCCGGGAGAAGGGCCCTGCGACGAAGAATATGTGAATCCGTTAGAAAATGTCGCTCGATGGCGACTGTCAGCGAACGCCATGGCGTTGCGCTCAGGTGCCTCCTTTGCTTTCAACTGGGGCAACCGCTCTGCACCCGCGCCCCCATCTCCCTCACGAACCATCTATCTCGACTCAACATTGTCAGAATGGAAGGGTAAAGACGCCATTCGAGTTGACGTGTACGAACCGTCGGCCGACACGCAGCCAAGTAAAGCCCGTGCTGCCGCCGATCCTGTCAAGCGTGTTGGTGTCATCAACCTCACGGCGGCGGCTTCATACTCGGCTCGGGCACAGATGATGCCCGCTGGGCCTGCGCCGTGGTCGAGTCTCTCGACGCCGTTGTCTTCTCCGTTAACTACCGGCTGGCCCCCGGCTACCCATTTCCTACCCCTGTTGAAGATACTCTCGACTCTATTCTTCAGATTTATGCACGTGCGGGAGAATTCAACGTCGATTCTAACCGTCTCCTCCTTTCCGGCTTCTCAGCAGGCGGCACCCTCTCACTGGCCGCGTGGGTTATCCTTCAAGACCCTTCTCGCTGGGGGTATGAAATTTCATCGTCTCCCTCGATCGCGGGTCTTGCACTATTCTACCCGCTTCTCGACTTCACCACGAGCCGACCGGTTAAGCGCCGCTTATGTGTCAAGCCGCACGAGACACTTCCCAAGAGTATGACAGATCTTTTTGACGCTTCGTATATCCATCCTGCCATCCCCTACGACAACCGCGACGACCCCCGCCTCAGCCCCGGTCTCATGCCGCTCGAGTACATGGAGCGACTGCCGCCAGTACACCTTTGCCTTTGCGAGATGGACATGCTCCTCACTGAAGGCCTCAAGTTTGCCGATAATCTGCGAGAAGCAGGTGTCACAGTCACCTCGAGGGTCGTGCTGGGAGAGAAGCACGCGTGGGACAAGCCACCCCCATTCGCGCCCAAAGCGAGCGTCTCCGTGGAATACCAGGCGGCCATCGTTGCCATGCGACACTGGCTCAGCGACGACGGAGCCAAGTTGACGCAGGCGGCTGTTGGGGCTGTCAACGATCAGACTCAGGTAGCAGACGGCGCGCCACTAGACACGAGATCAAGAGTAGAAAGGGGTGAGCGAGACGAGGGAGAGGGCGAGGAGAAAAGAGAGAAGATGTTGCTACCTGGATATTGACAAACGAACCACAGGCGGTATTCTGGTAATAATTTAAGAGAGCCTTCTTAGCATAAGTGCGACAGTAAACTAATATGTATGGAAAATTCTATTTGAAGATCGACCTCATCACTCATTGTATACTGCAGAGATCATCAGAAGGTTCCAACTCGTGATAGCCTGCCCATGCCCTGACCACAATCCAGGCACAGGGCCTGGAACCGAACTGTAGGCGATGAATGGGAGACAGCTCCAAGCCAAGAGAAACAAAAGTGAGCCAACCACGCACCCGCCACAACGTCTGCCGTACCCTAGCGCTGAGCCCTGGCCTCGGCGGTCTCGCTTCCTCTTGCGAGACAGGTAGCACGGCAGCCAGCGACGTGTTTCAGGCCACGGTGCGATGCGTCACCAGCGAGACGCAGGGCACATTGCATGCCGCGAGGCTGCGGCGGTGTGTACACATGTGCCGTCAATCCAGGGCGGACGACGCGCTGTCGGGTGGATGCAGGTACACGGTCGGGGGCGGCGGGGAGGTGGGGTTTCGCTGCGGGTGAGAGAGCGCTCGAGCGACACAGCAGGGCTTGATGGCAATACAGGTAGGAATTGTTCCGAGTTGAGCTTGAGCAATCATGTGGAAATCTGTACCGTAATTGAATTTGGCTTCCACTTGGAGTACTTGGAGACCGCCGCTCTCGTCATCCTGGTGGAGGCACGTCTTGACCTAGGTAGGTATCTCGGTGTTTAGAGGTACATGTAGGCACTCGCCCAGCCTGGCGCCCGCATTGACGCTGCGATGAGCGGTGGTCATTCCGTGGCGTTCACTCCTGACGGACGAATCGCATCCCCACATTCTGTGGAGACTACGTGCAGGCCAAATGCAAGGGCAAAGGCAGGGAGGACGGGCGTCGTGTGTGTGCGTTCGTCGAGGGGAGGGAAGAACTGTTGGTCAGTTCATGCTGGAGCGATGCAATGCGACGTGTTGGCCAGAGACACAGCGGCCAGGGAGCATTTGTGCGCCTAATTTAACTCTGAAAATCGTTCCAGAGGGTTGCTCTGGGCGATGAGGGTGCGGTGCAGAGGAGCACGACAGATGCAAGCTTAATAAAGTGACTGGTTCCAAGGGGCAGCCTCGACCAAGTGTCTCTGCTCTGGACAAAGAAGATGTCTACTCCTGAAGCTATCACGAGGCATCAAACACAAAGGGGTGCTGGTTTTGCCTTTCGGTTAATTGTCATGAGCTACATGACTGCCGCCTTTGGACTCGGACGCTTTATCCTGATGTTGCACGAGCCTGGCAATCGATTGGGTACTCGACTTCAATGTCACTGTCTCCTCCAGTCCGAGTATCACGATCTTCGTCATGTCTACATGGGTAGGGATAGGATCATAGCCCCTTTTCATACACCCAAACTCAAATGCAAGAAGCGAAATCATGACCGCAGGATGGACGCATACGCCTTGGCTCAAAGGTTTCCTGCGCGACACTGTTTCTAACCCTTTCCACTCGGCATACTTTCAACATGCAGCTGCAAGGGAACACTGGACGGCTGACTTGCTGGACGTGTTGCCGTACCAGGAGGTCTCTGCCACATCATGTCACCGAAGCATGCCTATTGACACGATGGCGCTGGCGTGCTCGACACTCACGGTTCAGACTTTGTCACGAAGCACATAGCGATTCCTAAGCTACTCAGAAATTCCTATGCCATGCCAACTCGTGGAGCCTTGTCAGCCATTGCCGTTGCTTGGCAAGGCTGCAGATAGCTCAGCAAGTTTATGGGCGTTGTTTTATGTCCAATCTGGTGCAGCAATCTCTTGGAGACATCACAGTCCGGAAATATCCCCCATCGTCTGTTGTACTCTACCCAGGGCCTCCGTTGCGCCGAGGGATGGATGCCTTGCAAATATGAGGCTCTTCTGAAAAATCGTGTTTCGTCGTCATATTTTTGGATCACAGCCTATACGACATGGGCATTTGTCCTCTGTGTTTGAGGACGAGAACGCATGTCTATTGAAAACGACTGTTGGCTCCCTCAGAACAGCGTGATTTGCAGCTCAGGGTTGGCATT